TCTGATGATACTTCATTCCATGCTTGAACAATAAATTTTATAGCATTAAGTACATTTAATTTGTCATCATTTCCAGATTCATACTGATTAAGCATCCATTTTATAAAATAATTTTTGTAGCAACATTTAAAAGACATGATAATACCAGCATCAAGTGGTTGTATGCGAGATGTTGTGTTTGGTGAAAGGTAGTAGACGGTAGTGTTGTGAAGGTTTAAATTGCTAGAGGAATAGCACTTGACATTATTTACTAAAAGAATTACCTTATGATTGGCCATTTTCATGTCAAATTCCTTAAGCCATACTTGAAATAGCACAGTCATCATCCATGCCTTACTACTTGACTCATATGTGACACTGAGCCTATTGTATTTGATACGTTTGAAGCACTGTGGGTTGGGTGATTTACCTATTACAAAGAGCTTAAATTTATCCGTCCTATTAGCATTGGCACAAAGTGCCACAGTTAATCGTTCTTTATCTTTTTTTTTTACCCTTTAGACAAGTAGTTGCTAGTGTGGTATCTGGCTCAAGACTAACAAATAAAAAAAAAAAAGAATTAATAAGTATCGATTTGGGTGATACTAAGAGAAAATCAGACTTTAATCATATTAATTGAAGTCTGATTTTCTCTTGGCGTTGCTCATTCATTGTTATACTATATACCAATAGAATAACCCTGTTTTATCCATGTTGTAAATATTTTTTAAATTATATTCTTTTAGAACCTTTCTTAACTGAGGAATAGCTATTGCAACTATATTATTGTCTAAAGAAGCATCTTCTCCATGCTTTTTTATTTGTTCTAGACCATGCATTTTTTTAAATTTAAATAACTATCTGTGTGAAAACTTAAGCTCGCTTTCAGGTATTTTTAATAGTTTAGCAAAAATTTTTGCTTTTTCAATCAAAATTGTATTACTTATTATAAATTTGTCTTGGTTTTGTAAAACCCACTCAAGTAATGCGTTTTCAAGATCCGGATACTAGACTATTCTTTGTTTTTTTTAGAGGGATTATCACCAATGTCGTCTTTATTTTTTATTAGATGCTCAATGGTAGTTAAATGGACTTCAAGTTTAAATATTTCTTTAACCCAAGCAGCAAGATCAACGTAGCTAATATTTGAGTTCTTTTCTTTGTACTTAATAATTTCTCTTCTCTGCTCATTACTAAGAGTAGTTTTTTTTACTTGTTTTTTAGAAGACATTCTGCTGTTGTAATACTTATAGGGTAGGTTTTATTCAATGAAAATGTGATAAATAATCATTTATTAAAAGTATTTTTAGGCCATATAAAGTTAATTAATTGTTTCTCATAACCCGGCCGGGTCAAATTTAGCTATATGATACGTTAATTAATTATATATAAAAAAAATTAGAGAAGAGATTTTTTGCTGCGTTTAAATTTAACTATACGATACGTTAACAAACTTTTTTAATTACGTAAAAAAAAGTTTTAAGAGATTTTTACTGCACTCAACTATACAATATGTTAATAAACTTTTTAATTAATTAAAAAAAAAAAAAAAAAAAAGACTTTAAATAGAAGAGATTTTAGCAATTTTTATCATTTCTTTCTTTCTTGCATTACTATCGCTATGACTTCTAATAATTCAATAACTTTTTCATTTCTATCGATTGAAACATTTTAAAAAATTGTTACTGATTATATGAAGAATGAAAGATATATAATAAATCATTTAAAATACAACCGCTATGTAACGCTTTTGCGAAATCCTCAAAGTACTCATGAAAATCCAAACTTCAAATATTGGGCTCTTCATATGTTTAAACTAATTAAAGTTGGTGCTATTGAAGAACTTAATATCAAATCCGAAAATAATAATCGTGGCACACAAGTTTGTCCTATAGAAGACTTTTATTCGGTAATTTGTCAGGCCCACCAGGATACAGAACATGGTGGGCAAGAAAAAACATGGCTAAAAGTAAGGTTTAATATAAATTTAAATTTTTTTCTAAATATTAAGTAATTCAAATTTAAATTTATATAAATAGATTTGACAGCGTTACTGTTTTATACCCCAAACTATAGTAGAAAATGCCGTGAAACAGTGTAATGTATGTGTCACACGATGTGCAACAAAAAGAATTCCTGCTATTAAACCTATAATTGCTGAGAAGTTCCTTGCGCATGTTTAAGTAATTTCTATATTTATATATATATTTTATTTTTTTTATATATATTTTTTTAAATACCGTATATTACCGAATAGAAGCTACCAAAAAATTTTCGATTTTCTTCGATTTTCTTAGGCTAAACTGCAGGGGTAGCTTCTATTCGGGTCTAATTTTACTATTAAAACATAGTAACCGTTTTCAGATTTTTGGATCCAAAATCGAGGGGTAGCTTCTATTCGGGGGTAGCTTCTATTTGGTAATATACGGTATATATAATAACAATAAATATTAATTTAAATAAGGTTGACATAGTAAATATGACAGCAGTACCTGATAATGGGTTCAAATATATTATACATATTCGCGACCACTTTACTCGATTTTCAGCTGCAGAACCTGCAATGTCAAAATCAGCAGAAGAAATAGCTAGCTTTCTTTTGTGATTTTGTTTAACATATGGACCACCATCAATTCTACACTCAGATAATGGTGGAGAGTTCGTAGGTAATATAGTAAAAAGAATGATAAAACTTTGGCCATCAGTCAAGTTTATTCATGGAAGGCCACGGTATTCCCAATGCCAAGGCTCTATTGAAAAGGGTAATGATGTTCTTCAGACAAAGCTCGGGGCCTGGATGGAAGAAACCAAGCGGAATGATTGAAGCATTGGGTTACTATTTATTATTTGTATTTTTTTTTATTTTTTATATATATATATAAATTATATAGTATTAATATAAAATAACTACTATAGGGGCAATAAACACTCAAAAGAGTAAAGCAACCAAATTAACTCCATATCAACTTGTATTCGGGCAACAACCTCAAGCAGATTTACAAATGATTTCAATGCTCCATCGACAAAATATTATTTATGAAGAAGATATTCCATTAGAAAATCAATCATTATTAAATAATAATAATCAATCAAATATAACGATTAATGGTATATAAATTATTAAAATATTGATAGTTAATTTTATTGATTATAACATTTTTTTAATTTTTTTTTTAATTAATTACTTCATACATAGAAAATAATAATAGGATAATTATAATTGAAGACAGTGATAATGATAATGATCTTGAATCTCTTAGCGATAGTATTATTGAAAATAAAATGAGTATTGGTATATCACGAGATAATAGCATTGTTGAAAATAAAATGAATATATCACGAGATAATAGTATAGTTGAAAATAAAATGAGCATATCACGTGATAATAGTATGATTGATAAAGAACATATAGATATTGTGCAGCAAAGAAATTCTTGGAATAAAAAAGAAAAATAGCGTGCATCAGATTCTAATGCTAATTTAAATAATGATTATAATAATGCAAATATAATTTAATTAATATTTAATTGTTTACTACATATCACAATTATGTATTAATAAAAACTAACTTTTATTTTTTATACTTTAATAAATAGGGTTCATTATATCGATATGATTCTATAGACTTTGAAAATGATAATTTTGATATTTTATCAGATGAAATGTTTCAAGAAAACTATAAATCATATGAAGATTTATCTCAAGCTGATACGATTATTGACTTAACCCAAGAAAAATCACAATAAGCAAATTGTTCTTATATATTAATCGAAAATTCAAACCAAGAAAATGATATGTCAATTGATAATCAATCTCGTACAAGCCTTGATAACCATAAACAATTACGTGATAAAGCAGTACAACAAGTTAAAAAAAATCGTCAATTTATTTGTAGTGTTATGGAAAAGCATCATAAAACCAAAACGTACTTTAACTTTAAATATAGATAATCTCATAAAAAATTATTGTTGTTATTTGAAAAAATATAAAACTAAAACTACTAAACTAAACATATATAACTTTGAATCCAGGTGATCTGGTAAAAATTCGAATTCCGGATATTGACAAGCTAAAGTTAGATAGGCGTTCATTGCCTTGTAAAATCATGCAAAAAAAACCTGAATGTAATTCCTACCAAGTTGGATGCGAGTTTGGAATTTTAAATACATGGTATTCAGCAAACGAATTAGAACCATTAGACACTAATGAATATCCGGCACTTGACATTATTCCACTTGGTACCTTTGTTTCTTTAACAAATGCCACAGCTCAACAGAGACTAACACGTCCAATACAGACAGTACAAGATAATACTGATAATTTATCTATTCAAGACCAAACAACCTTACAAGTGAAAAAAAAAATTCAAAAAAAAAGTGATACCGGTAACTGTCATTGTAGCAGAACAAACTGTAAAACTAAAAGTTGTTCGTGCCGCAAAAACAATGCACTTTGTACTAGACGTTGTGGTTGTGTATTGAGAGGCGAATGTAATAATAATTAGCGTAGCAGTTATGATCAATACGTAATTTTCTTTTTATATTGCATAATTTTTTTTTTTCTAATTTACTTAATTTACTTTTTCTATTGCATAATTAATTTTTTTTATGAACATCGCTAATTTATTTTTTTCGAATAATTAATATTTTTTTTTATAATTATGTAATCGGTATCACTCTTACCGATTGTTATATAACATATGTTGAATTGCAATTTTAAAATAACATGTGTCATTTCGATATTAACATGGATTGTGAAGTGACATATGTAATAGATATTTCACGGGCTGTTGTGAATATGATGGATTAGCACGGCGGAGCCGTGGTAATACATTGTGTTCATGAAATATCTTTTATATCCCACGGTTCCTATGCCCGTAATATTTCTGATTAAAATTTTTACTGATTACGTCATGGCCGTGGAAAAATTTTTGATATTTTCACGGCATTACGTAATCATAAATTGTTTATATTTACTACTCGGGTGGATTTCGTTTTGAATGTTTATAAAAAAAATTTCATTTTTTTTTGTAATAAAATTTTTTGAGAACAAAATTAAAAGCCGGGTTGCCGGGTCATTTTTAAAATGTTAATAGCCAAAAAAGTAGTAGAATTTATTGGTTTCAAAAATTTTTTTTTCTTTTTTACATAGATTTTTATGTTTTTTTTTTGAATTATAAAATTATTTGCCCGCGTAAATATTTTTATCAAACCCCTTAACCCCTTAATATACAATTTTTGAGAAAATAAAAAAAGTTCTCAAAAGAAAATACTAATATAATTTTTTTTTAAAAAATAAATCAATTTGTACAATAAATGTTCAAATGATAAATATCAAATAAACAAGGTAAATATTATAAAATTAAGAATAAAAGAGAGACAAAAATTATAAACTATATAGTAATGCATTAAATGAATTTTTAAGAGAATGAAAGCTTTGAAATCTAAAATAGTCTACTGTGAGGAAATCTTGATAAAGAGATAGCCAGCTCACAAATTCAAGATCTATAGGGAAGAGAAGCAAGAACCGCAAAGCACATGAAATCATGAATATTGAAAACGAACACCGCCTACTAACATCTCATCATAACTTTCCATCTCCAATTCGCTTATACTATTTCTTTTTTCGACGTGAACTTCAGTCCAGCATTCATCAGCAAAATGATCTAGGTTAGGAAAACTGGTATATTCAGTCGGGTCGGTCATGGAATAAAAAGAATTTGGAGTGGAAGGTATTTCAGGAGTGTGTGAAGAAGAATTTGAAGTTAAAAACTCTCTGGAATCTTTAAAAGATTGAGGAGCAGACAATGGAAGAAGATTTAGAGATAATGAACGGAGGAGCATTGAACTGGAACCACCAGAGCGTCGTCTTTTATGTATCGGAATATAAGAAAAAGTAGGCTTTCGTTGAGGGGAATTGTTTATTATAGAGTCAAAGGTTGGGTCAGGAGACATCGAACGAGAGGAAGAATAGGATGAAGGTGAATAAGAAAGAGCAGGTACTTGAATGTTATTATTGTCGCCGCGTGACTTTTGTGGAGCATTGACAGGCATCGTTTTTGAAAGAAATTGATGATGCATTTTCGAAAAGATATAAATTAAAGAAAAAATTCTTAATAACTTGAAATTTCTAATTTAAAAGCACAGCTTAGTTTATATAATTAATATAAAAATTATTAAATTATAACGCTGTAAAAATAAATTCAAATAAAAAAAAAAAAGTAAAAGCAAAGAATTTATAGAAAAATCAAGTTGATGCTTTGTGGCTTGCTTCTTTTTTTAAGAAAGGGAGAGAAATTTTTAAATTTCTTTTTTCGTGGAACTACTTTTATATAGGAATAATGATAGGCCATAGTGAATAGGACCCATGATAACAAGACACGCGACACAAAGTTTATGCAATTTTTTGTACATTAATCTAAAAATACACGACGCTAGAAATTATTTGTAAGTACTTAAGTACATGCGTACGTACGTACGTACGTAAAGTTCAGTTCTTTGTATTGGTATTACAGCAAATAATCAACATTATTTCCCTTTTAAACCTGGTCGTCAGATTTTATTTTTTTTTTACGCGAAGTAAAACTAGAACATTTTTACCACACACAATAAATTCTGGAACAAATTAGTAATATCGATCGGTAGATTATGTGGAAAAGGTTTTCTACCGGATATGATAAATATCCGATATTTCTAATTAATCTAATTCGACGATTCATTTGCATCTATACCTTAAAAAAACTTGTTTCACCTTTTCTTGTCGAAACAATAAAATCTGTAACCTCCAAGATGCTTCAAGATGCATGTAAGCTGTTACAAAAAGAAATTCATTTAACGTTAATGTATACCATATAAATATATTTGATATTAGTGATCAAAAATTATGTATGAATATCATTACTGTATTATGATGATAATAATAATTATATATCTGAATATCAGAATTATTGTTTTTAATTTAGATACGTAGAATATGTAATTCTGGTCAGAATTACAATCATTAAATTATCTAGTATATCCAACTTCTAACATTTTGTACGCACGTACGCATCTTTTCTCCACCTTTTCATCGATTAACGTTAATCATATTAATCATGGTAATTATTAAGTTTTACTGTTTCTAGAAGTCTTTTAAAGTTTCAAAAATAGCGGACGAGAGCAAAGTGATTTCGGGAGCAGCAAATTTTCAACTTGTCTCATTTATTTCAAGTTATTATGAAACAGCAATAAAATCTCAGCGGTTATAATTATAATAGAAGGCTTATTAAAATACAAATTTTCTCATTACCGTATTTACATTACGATACAGAAATGTATTGCGGCAATATAAATTAGTTCAAAATGTATATATAAATCGAAAATATCATGTCGCAATTTAGTAACTTTGTCGTCGTCAACTATAGCGCTATTATTGAAGCATCGTTTATGAGTACTGTTATGGGCATTGTTCTTAAAAAAGTCTTAATTTTTTTTCTTTATTTAAAAAATAGGGCGTTGAGATCGAAACCATCAGGGTTTGTTCAATTTTTTTTTTTTTTTGAATATAAGAAAATCTTACCTGTCTACGACTGAATCATATCTCTTTGTTTAGGAAGGAGATGGTAAGGTAGGCTCGAAGAATTTTGGATCATAATACTTCTCTTTTTGCAAATCTTAATATTCATGTCTTTATGAAATTATAGACCTTCCCAAAGAAAGTACGTACTTCATCTTTGAACAACTGAATCACGTGAATTCTTCACAAACCTTTATTAATTCTTATTATATTATTACAGGGAGATACTGTTAAAATACATTGTAACTATTTCATATTTTATTTATATCTTTAAATTTATAAACTTTTGTAACCTTTGATGAATTTAGATACTGGCTGGCTTAAAGATGGTATGAAACAATTTGACTCCTCTACGACTCGTGGTAAGCCATTCGAGTGTAAGATTGGTGTTGGCCAAGTGATTAGAGGTAACGTAAAACTCTTATTATTGTGGTTTTTTTCAAGTCATTTCTTTACTAATTTTTTTTAACAAATATTAGGCTGGGATGAAGGCAAGTTTTTTTGAAGTGGTTGGAACTGATTGATTCTGATTATATCGATTGACTAAATGATTGTTGGAGATGATACTGAAATTTTATATGAAATTTTAATAAAAGAGTATAAGTGGGTTTAATTGGGTTTAAGAAGTCTAAATTGAATTTCCAAAATTTCTGTATAATTTAATTTCAGCATCGTCCCCAATAATTTATTAATACTATCAACCTTCCATAAATGCACTCCTTTGGTGTTTTAAGGAGGGTGTACATTTATAGAGGGGTACATTTATAAATATTTAAAAATTTATTATTCCACTGACTTTAAATCCATTTCTTTAACAGGTGTCCCTCAGCTTAGTCTTGGTCAAAAAGCTAAACTTACGATCTCTCCTGATTATGGTTATGAAAACGGCTTTGGTGAAATTGTAAGTAGACGTATCCGTAAATTAGTATTTCATTTTATTATATTATTTCTAATTTTAATGTTTTATGAAGATTCCTCCTAGATCTACTTTGATCTTGTAAGTTAAACCTTTTTTTTTTTATCGGGCAAATACAATATATTCATGCTTTCTTTTTTAAATTTTAGCGAAGTTGAACTCCTTGAAATCTCTTAAATGCTCTCAATTCTATGAATTTTTTTTTTCTCAATGATTATTTAGTAATTATTTTCTGATTTGTTCAAAGCCATTAAAATAATTACCAAAATGATCCATATTGTGTCTTAAGCTCATTCATTATACGTATTAATATTCAGTCGATCTTTTAAATTTGATTATTTTATTAAAAGTTTCTATTTGGTCCTTTAAAATTACAATATGACTGCATAAATACTATACCAGATACGCTAAATATATTAGATAGCCAATAATACGACTAAATTAACCATGATGTTACACGCCTTCATGAGAACCTGTATATGACTGGCTACTAGATAAAGTCTAATTAGGTAATACAAGACTTTTAAGAGTTTTTACCAATTGAAAATGGATGTAAAATTGTCCAGCCTAAAATATTGTTACGAGTTCTTTATTTTTGAATGAATACTTTAGATTTACCTAACTTGTGGTGGATATCCATAAATTTACTTGTACGTACGTACATTCTTTTTGTGCAAATTCGATGCCATAGTCACAACATCCTACTTCGACGTCGAATAAAAAAATTTTATAATTTAAGCTACTGTATTAAAGTTGTTCAGAATTTATTTTTATGTACGTACAGAATTTCTATTTTTCGAAAGATTAATAAGCAAGAACTGTTTCACACATTCAAAGACTATCTTAAAATTAGTATTTTTATTTGGGCTTTGTTCAATTAAAAATTCTTTTAAGAGTATCTTGGCATAATTTATTAAGCAATATTTAATATTTTTGTATCTTTAGTATATTTAGAACAGGCAGAAATCAGCTGATTTTAGAGGGCGGTTGCTCACTAGTACGTTCTAGTAAAATTTATCGGAACTGAATTTAATTGGATAGAATTGGAAGCATAATAGCCTTCAGCAGGGTTGTTAATAAACATTGTTCACTAAATTAATAAACGAATAAACAATGAAATTCAATAAACAATGTGCATTGGTCGTTTATTTGTTTAAACGACTTAGATTAAATGAAATTTTGTATAGTATAAAATAGACCGAAAAATATAAGTGCATATCGCGCTCACGATTGCAAAGAGACAGTGCTAAATCACGTGTTATTCTGAGATAGATTACTTGTTTTCATATACTAAATATATAATTTATATATATTTACAAACCGGGCTTGTGTCTGACGGCGCAGTAGGGTGTTCAATAAACTAATTCTGTAATTGATCAAAACTTAGTTAGGGTCATATATGATGATCATTATTTTGGATTTTTTAAAGAGTTATTTCACATATAAATTTGTACTAATTTAGGTCATTTTTCTACACAACAAACAAAATTGTATGTTTTTTTTAAAAAACTGTAGTTCTAGACTAGCTCTACACTGTAACAGAACCGGTTTTTAAATAACTTTTAATAAAATTTTGGATTAATTTTTATTAATAATTAACATAG